ATAAATCTAGTAGTGAAATCACACCACAGTAAGATTGTGTGTGAATCATAGCAACCTTATGAACAGCAGACCTGATCCCTGTCATATCCTGTGACATCCTCATCATGTCTGACACATTTAAGCCAATTGCTGTAGTCGCTGTGTCAATCCATCTCTTTGAGGGGTTTTGTCTCCTTAGCTGACCCTCCGTCTTTCCAAGCATGCTTGCTGTACCTTTACAGGGAGTAGTTTTTTCCCTGCAACATGTTGAAGTATGAGAGATGAAGCTTCACCAACTTTGCCTCCAGGGAACACTGACTACAGTTCTTCCAGGGCATATCTGTTTGCTCTTTTGGCAGTCCATGGGGATATTCAGCACTACAACTCAATAGCATCAATTCTTTGTCTGTCATCCTTATTTATTGTCTAGTTTCCAGGTAATAGCAAATGATTGAAAATACCATGGCCCAGATCAGGCACAACATAATCCTCAAACTGACATCATTGCTCTTAAATATTTTGGAGAGTTCTCTGACAGCTGACTTGCCCAGTACAACATGTCTCCTGATCTCCTGACTGCTGGTACCAAGGGTGTTGATGGTTGATCCAAGCAAGACAAAATAATTAACAACTTTAATTCTTTCTCAGTCTCTTGTGATGTTCTCTATTGGCACAGTTGTGAGGACCACTGTTTTCTGGATATTAAAATGTAATTCATACCAAAGGCTGTCGTCTTTAATATTCTGCAGCAAGCGTTTCAAGGGTTTGCTTCCTTGCCTTTAGCAAGCAAGTTTATTACATTTGCTTAATGCAGGTTGTTGATGAGTCTTCCTTTGATCCTGATACCATATTTCTCTTCAAAGAGTCTAGAACCATGAATTCCGATTAGATAAGAAAGGAGAAAGGATACATCCCTTCCTAATTTTAAACCATGCGGTGTTCCCTTGCTCTTTTTGGACAGTAGCTTCTGGATCTAGGTTTTACATGAGCACAATGAAGTGTTCTGGGATTCCCATTCTTCTCATTGTTAGTCATAGCTTGTTATGATCCGCACAGTCAAATAGACATTCTTCTAGTCTTCTCTGCTTTCAGCCTGGACCCATCTGACATCAGTGGTGTCATGGCCTCTTCTAAACCCCTTTTGAACTTCTAACAGTTTGCTTCAAGTCTCCAGTTACTGATGACTAAATGTTTGGTCTTAAGATTAGGAAGTCTCAATGAACTAGAAAGGCTATGTGATGTACTTCCAGAATTGCCTCACATCTTCTGGTACAAATGTCATCTTTGTATTTTTAAGTTTGTTTGTTTTGTTTTGTTGTTGTTGTTTTTTTTTTAAATAATCCTAATGCTGCTTAGTATATCCCAGGAAATGTTTTAGGGCTTTTGCCAGCCTAGATGGTATACTTTTCTTTTTTCACTCTACTTTAGCGTTATTACATTCAGAACACAACCCAATTTTCAGAATAAATATTTGAAAATGTAAAAATGTTTTCTGTCTTAAATAAAGATGCTGTTCAAGATGTCTGTATCACCTAAATCCAGTTCTATTTTGCTTAAAACTTATATTTAGACTATGTTATCATCCTCAGTAACTTCTTCAGATCTAATATTCACATGAATACAGAGAGCAGTGTTTTTGATCCCTGTCGTTTTGTGATTCATCTGTTGTGGTCTTTTAGTTTCCCTAAAATTCCTTTCAGTGTCAGTCTGGAGACTAAGGTGTGCCTGATATAAGCCATGGTCTTTGCCATTACTTGCTATGCTTCAGAGAGCTAGACAATAACTAGGGATGTTAGAAGGAGAGTTGATGCCTTTCAGCTGTGGTGCTGGAGAAGAGTATTGAATATACCATGGCCTGCTAGGGGAACAAACAGTTGCATCTTGGAGAGAGTGAAATCAGGCTGCTCCTTGGAGGCAAGGATTCTGGGGCTTCATCTGACATACTTTGGACATGTTGGAAGGAGGGACAGTCCTTGGAGACTGACATTATGCTTGGGAGGGTGAAGGGACAGCACAGGAGAAGAAGACCCTCGATGAGATGGATTGATTCAGTGACTTGGGTAATGGGGATAGGAGTGTCGGATACAGTGAGATTGGCAAAGGATAGAATAGAATTTAGGGCTGTTGTACAAAGGGTCATGATGAGTCACAGGAGACTCGATGGCACATAACAACAACAATTCCTTTCAACTCATGGTGACTCATGTTCAGAGAACTGTTTCATAGTGTTTTCAAGACTCTGACTTTTCAAAAGTAGGTGGCAACTATGAGGACACTCTGAATGGGTTTGAATTGCTTAATTTTTGCTAGTATTCAAGTGTTTAACCATTTGTACTATCCACAGACTCATAATTAATGTTGTTAGATGTCATCAGGTTGGCTACAACTCAGAGCAACTGATCTGAACCCTGCCCTATCCTGTGCCATGTTCATCATCTCTGACACACTTGAACCCATTTTTACAGTAACTGTGTCAGTACAGACAGACTTGATAGTGCAATGGGTATCCAGTACTTTTCTTCAACACCACAATTCAAAGGCCTCGATTCTTTATCAGTCATCCTTATTCACTGTAATTAATGGTTTTGTTAGAAACACACATAGACACACCGAAACACCCATACAGTAACTTTAACTCATAGTTACCTTGTGTGTCAAGGCATAACTTGCATGAGGTATTTGCTCAGTTGATTTGCTTAAATCAACTTCCACTTGTTGGTTAAGTTTTAGATTTTTAGCTAATTCATTTTCTTTGGATATCATTTCCATAGATAAATCTTTAACACAGTTTTTTGAATGGACTCACTTGTCACCTGTTTTAAAAAATTTCCTTCTGGTGATTTCCTTCAGTTTTTCACGAATTGGTTTAACATTGTGTCTCTATTGAGTATGTACTTGTTGAGGTTCATGATTGGGCACTTTAAGGAAAACCAGCAGTGCTTCTTGATCTGTTCTTAAAGGTGGATTCTACAAAGACATTGCCCAAGGATCTCTTCACAATGTTTTTACCTCATCTAACAACAATTCAGTTGCCATTTCTTTTTACTATATTATGAACCCCTGAGAAGTGAGAAGTTAGCTGAAGTTTTTTTCCAATTTACGTACTTTTTTATGGTAAAACAATTTCATTAGGGGCTTAGCCTTCTTTTGTTCTCTATTAAAGGCAGTTGTATCTGAAAGGTATGGGTGACTGAGCTGGGAAGGGCCAGGTTATAGCTGAGATTAAAGGATAATTTTCACAATTGAATCCATTTTGTAGAGCAGCTGAGTATTCTGAATATTTATCATTAATTAGCCTGAATATTAAATTCTGTTGTTTAAAAGACAAGGCAGAGTACATGGGATTTTTGGGATGGTGGTCCATGATACCAGTGATTTTTGACTAAAAGATGATGGTAACATCAACCAGAGGACTACATACAGACCACTTGTATAGAAAGTCAAAACTGATTTCGAAAGTCAAAACTAATTTCTAGAGAGTATAAAAGGATGCCTTTGAAAAGAGTTCAATAGAATTGTTTCTGTTATGGCTCCCCTTTCTGACCCACTTCTCTCCTAGGGAAAGAGACAGGCTAACAGCGTAAAATGATTTGCCTTTCATTTTCCTCTAAGAGCTGTCTCATAGAGGCAATCCACAGAGATGCCTTATCAATTTTGTTTAAACCTTATATATATTAACACGTTGCCACACATTTTTAAATTGACAACCATGCTTAGAAACACATCGCCCCCCCCATAGCTGTCGTTTGCGGTAACGTGTTATTATAAATTACTATTCTGAGAGGTAGTAATTCCTTCCTTTTTTTCCTTGTCCATTTGCTTCTGAATGGTATATGTACGTGTCATAGAAATTATTACATCCTAATCCTTAAGGTTTAGGGTATAATCTTGCTAAAGAGCAAGGATGCCACTGTAGAGACTAACGTGCACCTGATCCAGGCGATGGTGTTGCAATTACTTGCTGTGCATCAGAGATCTGGACACTGACCAAGGATGACAAGAATTGATGCTTTTGTGTTGTGGTGCTAGAGAAGAGTATTGAATATACCATGGATTGCCAAGACATCTAACAGGTCTGTCTTGGAGAGGGTGAAACCAAGCTGCTTCTTGGAGGCCAGGATTTTGAGACTCCATCTGAAATGCTTTGGACATATAACTAGGAGGGACTAGTCTTTGGAGAAGGATATCATGTTCAGAAGGGTCAAGGAACAGTGTAGGAGCAAAGACCCTGGATGAGATGAATTGACAAACTAAGTGAAATAATGAGGGTAGGTGTGTCAAAGACAGTGAGATTGACTCAGGATAGAGCAGGGTTCAGAGCTAATGTGTGTAAGGTCGCTATAAGTTAGAGTTGACTTGGCACATAATAGCAACAACAGTCCTTAAGCAGGGAGCTCTGGTGGCCTAGTGGTAAGAAATTGTTCTGTAGTTCCCAAAGGCACGTGGTTCAAATCCACCAGGTTGTCTGGCAGAGAAGATTGGACAGTCTCCTTCCATGCAGTTTACTGCCTCTCAAAACCCATTGGAGCTGTGGTTTGGTTCTGACTGAATGGCAGACAGCCACAACAGTTTAATGTGATGCTATGGCTAGAGTCTTTACATGAAGGGATCTTACTAACACATTAATAGGACCAAACCCCAAATTAAAAATCAATTCCACCAATGCAGTTCTACCTCACACCCCGTAGGACAGGAACAACTGTCCTGTTTGAATTCCAAGGCTGTAAATCTTGACAAAGGCCGCTACCAAATCTTTCTCTCATACTGCGTCTGGTGTATTTGAACCACTGACCTTTCTCTTCGCAACCAAGCACTTTAATCACTGCATCACTAGGGTTCATTTTAAAACAGCATTCACGTTTTTGTTAATCTACATTCCTAAAACCTTTCTCAGTGCTTTTTGGCAAGGGAATTATTCAGTGCATAGTCTTACTGGTTTTGACAAAGAACAAGGCACATGCTACATATTCTTTGACAGTGGATTCGATGCTTACCTTCATGTTCTCGCTCTTCTGTTTTAGGATGGCTCAAACCTCTCCGCCAACCAGAGGGCCTATGCCCTTGAGCAGCTGCAGAAACAAGAGAATTTGACCATTGACACTCATTACTACCTGGCCCAGCAGGTCCACCCAGTTGTGGCTCGGATCTGTGAGCCAATAGATGGGATTGATGCTGTGCTCATTGCCTCGTGGTTAGGTAAGTGGTTTTCTGGGGTGTTTTTGTTTATTTTTTCCCTGTTTCACATGCATCTTTGTATAGCACCAGCAGCATACGTGGACCCCCTTCAACTGTTAGCTCTGTATTTAGACACAATACTTTCTAGTACTTCGCTGTGTGTGCTTAGGCTTTTTTTCTTTTTTGCATTTACTTTTATATTTCTATTTTTATATTTCCATGGATTATGACCTCCATGTACTCACTACCTTTGTAACTATATGCATGTTTTGTAGTTGGCATCCAATAAATAGATAAATGCTGAGAGAGAAGAGGGAAGGGGCAAGGGATGAAGAGAGGAGTTAAGATCTTAGGCACCATCACAGTAACTGACTTTGCATTATTGTAGCTTTCATTTGATTAATGTTATTTCTGACTTCATAGGAGTTGCTTTTAACATAATGTAGGAAAAAATTCCCTTTGAGTATTCTATACTCAATTTAGTCAGAATTATTCCCAAACTAGGACAGAGAGCCTTGGTGGCATAGTCTCTAGGGAGGTGGCTGATAACCCAAAGGCGACGCCTTCTCTGGTGGTTTGAATCCACAGGCAGCTCCACAGGGCAAAGATGAGCAGTTTCTTCCCATGTGTTTTATAGACTCTGAAAGCCTGTCAGAGGGGCAGCTGTTATAGCTTGTCTTCACACGTATTTTATAATCAGCTTGGATTTACATTTCAAGATAAACTTCACATAAATAGTTACATTGCTCTTAGGTGCTCTGCTTTGCTCTTTAACCCATATTAAACAAGATGATTATTCTTAAAGTACTGTGTAATGAAGTCCTTAGATGCCTCCTCACTGTCTACATAAAGCCTTGATATCAAAGGCTGGAAGTTAAAGGCTCTAACTTTCCAACTCAGTTGTGTGTTTCTTTTTTTTTGGTAGTTCTGTGTTTCTATCTTATCCTTTCACTACCACCAACCCTGCACTTCCCCACCTTTAGCTTTACTACTTAATAGTTAAGTCCAGTCTCTGAAATGGTAAATAAATAAGTCCAAAGTTGAATTGTTGTTGTTTTGTACCATAGAGTCAGAACCGACCAATAGCTGACCCTCCAGCAGCTTTTCAGAGGCAGTTAATTGCTCAGGAGGAGATTGCCCATCCTTCTCCCGCAGAGCAGCAGGTGGCCTGATATTGCGGTGCAGCTTCTTGCCCCTAGGCCCCCAGAGCGCCCAAGGTTGAATTACAAGTACAGTTTATAAATATTTAATATTTGAAAATCGCTTATTTCTTAATAGGTCTACTCAGTGTCCCCTAATTGTGATGTTCATCATCCATGCTTCTTTGCAAATTCTCCCCGTCCTGTCACTAAAAGGTGTGGGCTAAGACATACGCTTTACTATTCACAAGCTCAGTAGCTTTGGTAAGTTTCTAGACCTTGGACTAAGCCATGGTTCTTAGAATTGTTAAATAGAGCTGTTCTGAAAATGCAAAGATATTCCTATGAGAGGCTTAGCTCAGGGCCCTGAGCAGGAGAAGTGCTCAGTAAATGGTATGATTTGTCATATTTTGTCCATATCTCTAGCTTCTGTGTAAGTATGTACACCTTCCTCCAACCATTAGGATTTACACCTATACTGCCCAGTACCTCCAATGAGATAGATCTCCTCAGTCTACCACAACAGTCAGTCATCTCAAACAGTGGTCGTGTAGAAGACACTGGGCCAAGCAGTGTTCCGTTCTGTTGTGGGCAAGGTCACTGTGAGACAGAACCAATTTGATGACAACTCTCAGTGTTTTGTTGCCTTAGCCTTGGATGAATTGTCAGGTTACACACTTTCCATCCTGCCCCTGTTGAATGCATTTCTGAGCTTCTCCTCCCTGCGATGTCAACTTTGGAAGTGGAAATGCACTTTTGACATTTATCTGAGCAAAACATAATTAGTAGGATAAAATTCTGCAGCCGAAATAATCATATAATGTGTTCTCAAAGTTGAGTTGTTTGATGATGTTTATTCTTCATCTGGGAGAAAGAAACTCTAAATGCCCAGTATTAATTACCCCCACCCCCGCACATTGAGTCCTTTCTGTCACATACTGTGATAAGTAGTCTGCATGTATTATCTTATTTAATCCTTACAGTAACATCACAGGATTTGTTGTATTAGCTCCATTTTACAGAGAAGGAAATTGTGGCTCAGAGAGGGTTCTCATTTGTTCTGATCTCATAGGTGGTCAGTTTCAGGTTGTGATTACATCAGAATCTAGTACTCTTTGCCTCCCAAGCTTGTGCTCTCACTGCTGTGCTAAAGTGCACTGCCTTTTAGCCCCAAGAGCTTAGGAAAGAAATAGATTCTTAAGTAGGACTGGAATGATGTGTATGGGAGCTTCAGATTCTTGATTTATCTTCTCTCTCCACTGTGTCCTGCCACATCCACCACCAGGGACCTCTGTGTGAAAGCATTTTGTAATGTAGATCCCCAGCTTTTCCATGCCCTTTTCTCCTTTACCATTTCCTGGCACCTCAAGTAGCACTTGTGATTGTAAGGCCGGCATTCTGGGAAGCCCCTTTTTAGTTCTGTATGGCGGGGGCACTTACCTGAAAGGCAACTTGTCCTTGGTTTTGAACTGCTGATACTCCCCTTTCTGAGCTGCCTTTTCTTATTTTCATCCTCTACCGCTTGAAAACACTAAGAAAATAATTTCTATTTTCCCTTTTTTGTTATTATTTTTTATCATTCATAAACATTGTGTTTCATGCATGTATATTGTGTCTTACGCGACTTTTGTTTACAATACACACCAATTCAAGAGTTGCCACATGAACATTGCAGTGACATTGATTATATCCTGTGAGTAGTCCAACATTCCTGATTTTGCTTTGTTTCTCCCACTGTTAACATAAACTCACTAACCCCTAAATTTCCATTGTAAATTTTTGAGTTGCTGTTTGATACCAATTTTTAAAGTAAGGCTGTGTGAGGCTGTCACTATTTTAGTTCTTAACTGTGCACGTGAGAAACCTCTATCTAGATCCAAGATGCTATTGTTCAAACAGAGCAAGAGAATACAATGGTTTAAATTCAGGAAAAGTATGTGTCAGGGTTATATTCTCGCTATATACCTATTCAGTGATGTAACTACATGCTGAAAACATCATTCTAGAAGCTGGGTTCTATGATGAAAAATGTGAGTTCAGAATCAGGGAGATTCATCAACCTGTGTTGTGCAGGTGACACAATCTTGCTTGTTTAAGGTGAGGAAGACATGAAGCACTTATTGCAAAAAATCAAAGCCTTCAATATAGATTACATCTCAACATCAAGAAAACAAAAAATCTTAACGCTGGACCAATAGACAACATCATGATAGATGCAGAAAAGATTGAAACTGACAATGAATTCACCTTTTTGGATTCACAGTCTACACACTTTGCTATCCTCAGTCAGGAGATCAGACACTGGAAGGTCTGTAGTCAGGGACCTCTTTAAATTTTTGAGGAGTACTAATGTGAATTACTGTGTCAGCCAGTTCCTTTTGATACAGTGACTCAGTATATGAGTAGCTCGTGGTCTGTTCCACAGTCCGCTCCTGGCCTTGTTTTCACAGCTGATATTGAGCTTCTCCAGCGGTTTTTTTTCCGCAGGTATAATCAGTCTGATTCCTATGCATACCATCAGGTGAAATCCATGTGTATAACCTGCTTTTATGTTTCTTATAAAACGTATTTGCAATCAATTAGGTCACTGTGCAAAATTCAATCATTCTATCTCCAACTTCATTTCTCTCACCAAGTCCATGTTTTCCAACTACTGATTTCTTCTTCTCTCTTCCCAACCTTTGCATTCCAGTCACCCATTATTATCAAAGCATCTTGATTGCATGTTCGATCGTTCTCCGACTATAAAAGTTGGTAGAAATCATCTATTTCTTCTTTGGCTCTGGTTGTTGGTGCATGTATCTGAATGATAGTGGTATTCACTGGACTTCCATGTACTCGTATGGATATTTTCCTGTCACTCACAATGTTGTACTTTAAGACGGATCTAGAAATTACATTTTTAACTATGAAAGCAACTCCATTTTTCCTCACCTTTCCATCTCCGGAGTAATATTTCATATGATCGTCTGACTCAGAATGCCCCATGTCGGTCCATCCCATCTCTCCAATGCCTAGTATGTCAATATTTATGTGTTCCATTTCTTTCTTAACAATGTCTAATTTTCCTACATTCATGCTTCTCACATTCCATGTCCCAATCATTAGTGTCTGCTTACAATTTTTCCTTTTCCTTTGTATTTCCATACCTGAAAGCTCAGCCTCAGTTGCCCTTTCTGTTATCGACATGTGTTCTGTTGTACATAGGGTTTTCGGAGGCCTGCTTTTTCAGAAGTGGATGGCCGGTCCTTCTTCCTAATCTGTCTTAATCCCAGAACACTTGATCGTTCTAATGCAAAACCTATACTTGGACCAAGAGGCAGTCATCAGAACAGAGCAGGGTAACACTGCATGGTTCAAAATTGGGAAAGGCGTACGCCAGGGATGTGTCTTATCTCCATACCTTTTCAACCTGTATACAGAACAAATTATCTGAGAGGCTGTGCTCTATGAGGAGAAGTGTGGCATCAGGATTGGTGGAAGATCTGTTTAACAATTTGTGTTATGCAGATGACATAACCCTGCTTGCTGAAACTGAGGAGGACCTGAAATGCTTGCTGCAGAGGGTCAAGGACTGCAGCCTTCGGTATGGATTGAAGCTCAATGTCAAGAAGACAAAGATTCTCACCACTAGACCAATTGGCAGCATCAGGATGGATGGTGAAGAGATTGAGATTGTTAACAACTTTAGTCTGTTTGGCTCCACGGTCAACACTCTTGGCACCAGTAGCCACAAAATAAAAAAATGTATTGTGATGGGAAAGTCTGCTGTTAGGGACCTCACCAGGGTACTGAAGGGCAATGGTGTCACTCTGGAGACCAAGGTGCGTCTGATACAGGCTATGGTTTTTGCAATCACTTGTTATGCATCAGAGAGTTGGA